GATGTGGCAAATTGCCTGGGGAAGGGTGAGGAAGATGGAGTTCCTTCTAATCCCAGCCAAGAATATGGCAAACCACACATGCATTTTGGCACAATTTGCATGCTCAGGGAAAACAGGTGCCCTGTGAGGTTACCGTTTGGCCAAAAGCCAGGTACGAGCAGCAACCCAAAAGCTGCACTTTTGGCCTCTTCCAGGACCGTTGCCTTTGTCTCGCGCCAAAGCAGCTCAGATCTCAAACTAACCTTTCCGTTTGGAAAACACTTTGAAACTCCTTTGCAGTCCTGCAATATAATCAGTTCCGCTGCATAGCCCTAATAAAATCATTAAAGTATTGTACATCAAAAAGCATGCACTTCGTCAGTGTTTTGCAGACAGCGTTCACTTCCTATATATATGTTATATATATATTCACTAATACTGCTCAGATGTGACACTCAGGCTGTGGCCACAGGAATTCTCTGCCGTGGCTTCGCTTAACTAGAGTTCAAAGACAGGAGGATCTGTGTCCTTGTGGGTTCTCTGCTAGTGACCTTGTAGTGTCCGGATGCCTGATTTTTCCAAGGGAATGGAAGGGTGTTATGATAGAGAGCATTGACTATTGCCATATCACTTCTATCAGAAAAGGAGATTTATTTTCACACACTGTACAGATGTAGAGCTGAGCCCTCTCTCAGTTGCAGAAAAAAAATCCCTACCTATTTCTATAATGTGCACATTTTTTTCAAAAATAATGTCAATGGGAGAAGGGAGGTGGAAGCCAAAATTTGAGCTTTTCCTCAAATCAGGAGAAATCAAAAAATTTTGCGGTATGGACGCACTCAAAAATCTCATCAGTGCTAAAGGCCCTGAATATATCCTTCTTATAACTCCTCCCTAAACAGGCAAATTCTCCTGCTAGTGACTTATAAAGATCCAAAAATGCCACAGAGTGAAGATTCATGGGCTACATCCTAGACACACTTAAAAAAGGGTAGTAAGCTATGACTGTAACTCAATGCAATATTGTTCTTGACCTTGCACCTGCAATGAGCTAAGGCCAAATGTCCAGTGAGGAGATATACTCCTCACTGAGATGAGCAATGCAGGAAGTCTGGTTTGGAGAGCACGGATCGCTGCTATGGCCAACCAGCCTCCACAGAAAGGGCATCAAAGACCTTTCATGCCGCTAAATACTCAGTCTCATGACTTCGAGGTGGCCATCAAATGCTACTTGCAATCTGCACGACCACCTTTTTTTTCTTGATGTAACAATAAGACTGGGTCAGGTTGTCAAAAAATGCAAGAGGAAGTCTGGTTTGGAGAGCACGGATCGCTGCTATGGCCAACCAGCCTCCACAGAAAGGGCATCAAAGACCTTTCATGCCGCTAAATACTCAGTCTCATGACTTCGAGGTGGCCATCAAATGCTACTTGCAATCTGCACGACCACCTTTTTTTTCTTGATGTAACAATAAGACTGGGTCAGGTTGTCAAAAAATGCAAGAATTCCCCCCCCCCCCAAAAAAAAAAAAAACAAGCCTTTCCTTTTTTTCTTTATA